TTGTTTTGAGCCAACAGTTGCCATCCCCTCTCCTGACCCAAATGTTGATCGAGACCTAATCGAATACTATCTTCCGTTCTCTCAACCGCAATACCTGACTTGGAGTAAACAGAAGATCACAACAGTCAAGGTGTTGAAACCCACTTCAGCAAGGAAGTTTATCAATGTCAAATTCAAAGTGACCTGAGGCTCAGACAGTTCGGTTCACATGATCTCCCTAGCTGATCTGCCAAATTTGAATCCTCATGACTGGATTCTCCTGAACAATATTTTGTTGACTAATCAACAAGAGTATGAGCCTATCATTGATCACATTAAGCGAATGCTCGTGTGCTATATTCTTGAAGTCGCAAAGATGGATCAGGAAATCGCCTCTGCCTTGAGAAGGAAGCCCACTATCAATCCATAGGAAAGGAAAGCGACATCAACGTGATGATGAAGGGAAAATCGACCCACAGTTTCATACAGTCATGTTCATCAGGGGTGAAGGTCAAAAATGCATGTTCGCTCTCGTTGACAAACACATGTTCTCCACTTCCTGCTTGGAGCATATTCTCGATATCATACACAGGTGCAATCAGAACAGTGAAGCCAATAAGAAGATGTTTTCAGATATGCTTCGGTGGTACATTAACTTTCGTAAAACTCTTCTTGCCATCATACCAAAGTTGTTCAAGACTGTGAAGAAAATCACTGTTACTCAACTGAAGTGATCTCTCGCCTCAATTGGCGCAAAGGGGAAGATTGTTGAGTCTATGGGTTGCACCATTAGGCTTTATTAGTTCGGTCCATATGTATTCACGGTTTGGGCCTGTCCAGCCGTGTTATGTTTTTAGGATTTAGTATATATAGTGCATGCATGCATTATATTCATAACGCTTCTTGAATATTTTCTTTGACAAGTATTGTAACCCTAGCACGCCTCTAAAGTAGAAGTTTTTCATCGAGCTCTTCTGAGGTGTTGCTGTTTTAATCATTCGACATCCGTTTGATTCATTGTGTGTTTGTTCTTTGGTTTGCTTTATGTTTTATTTGTTAAGAATCTTATCGATCTTAAAGAGTTTTCAACTCATCAATGCTAGTATTGACCGACCACCGTTTAAGATGTTGGACGGTCGGAGGTGTAGGACTCCTGTTTGCTGGGGTGAGGTAGGGCATCGAGTCATGAGGAGCACCAAGGTGGTGCTCAATACTACCGAGTTGATTCAACAGGTGCGCGACAGGCTGCGAGTCGTATAGAACCTTCAAAAAAGCTATGCTGACCAGCGCCGATCGGATCTCGAGTTTCAGGTGGGGGACTTTGTTTTGCTGAAAGTGTCGCCATGGAAGGGAGTCATCAGGTTTCGGAAGACGGGCAAGTTAGGGCCCTGATATATTGGCTCGTTCAGGATTTCTGTCCGGGTGGGCAATGTGGCTTATCGTTTGGATCTGTCGGACGATTTTAGCCAGATACACAACACCTTCCATGTGTCTCAGCTTCAGAAGTGTGTCACAGACGAGGCCGCGATTTTCTCTTTGGACGACATTCAGGTGGATGAGAGCCTGAACAACATTGAGAGGCCGTTGCGGTTCTGGATAGGAAGACTAAGGTCCTTCGTAACAAGGAAGTGAAGCTAGTGAAGGTGCAATGGCAGCACCGAAGAGGCTCCGAATGGACATGGGAGCCGAAAGACGAGATGCAAGACCACTACCCGGATTTTTTTGCATCAGCAGACTTCGAGGACGGAGTCTAGTTCAAGTGGGGGAGATTTGTAACGCTTGTTTCAGGTATCATTTATTTCTCTAACATTTAGAGTTTTGGACTGGGACTCGACGAGTTGGGGCGCTCCAACTCGTCGAGTAGGGATCCTTATGGACGCGGGATGAAGGGTCTACTCGACGAGTTGGAAGGCCCCAACTCGACGAGTATACGCTGGAAAGTAAAACCCTAATTATCCGGGTTTTGAACCCTATATAAAGAACTTATGGCTTATTTGTGGCCTCCCTCATCGTCCTTACAGTCCAGAGAAACCCTAGTTCGAGCCTTATACCTTCTTGAGTGTGTGTGTGAGAGCCTTGGAGAGTGATTTTGGGGTGATTGTGAAGGAACTTGGAGCTTGAAGAGGTTGGAGTAAAGGGGCAAGCAGTAGATCTGACATCTACTCTGTTTTGGCAACCATCTTGAGGTATAAAGTTGATGCTTTGACCTTTTATTGCTTAGATCTCCTCTTATGAAACTATATGGTCACTTTTGGTGCAAAATGGAGTCATTCTCGGATTTGAACTTGTCATGAGAATAGGATTTCAGATCTGGACTCCCCTAGGCCTCCATTGACATAGAGTTGCCCACTTTATCTAGTCTTGACACTCCTCCATGCCCTAAACCTTTTATTAAACCTAGTTTTAGTGTTTTAGCCTCTTGAGGCCTTGCATGCACGTAAAGTCAACTTTACGTGGTATTTCGGTCCTAAGGGACTGGATCTGTAGTTTAGGGCTTTATATTCAACTGGAAGGGTTGAATACGTTAAGACATGAAAAACTCGACGAGTTGCCCTGACAACTCGACGAGTTGGGCAGGGTTTTCCCCGCCTCCTGGATACAGAGCAAACTCGGCGAGTTGATAAGATAACTCGGCGAGTTGGCTAGGGTTTTTTTCCCGGTTTGCTGAACACTGAAGGAACTCGACGAGTTGCTAGATGCACTCGACGAGTTGGGTCAACATGGACAGTTGACCTTCACTGTTGACCTTAACTTTGACCATGGTTGACCAAGATTGACCTTAAGGGTATCCTTGGTATTTCGGGACTTTGATAAAGTTAGTCACATGGTGTTTGTAGGCAGTTGAGTTGGAGCTGTGGATTGGGTTTGACTTTTACCGGTTCAGCACTTCTTGAGAGGTGAGTCTCCTCACCATACCAATGGGTCTAAGGCACCAAGGCCGGCCCATTCAGTTATTTGTAGTGTTATTTTAGGTTCATTACTGATATATCTGGTATGCATGTATTTGTGAATGTGCTAGTACTTTGTTGAGTAGATATGTGAAGACCCCGGGGGGAGCCCGTGGCAGTTGCATACAAAAGCATGTGGGGGAGCCCATGGCTTTCCAGGTAAAGACCATGAGGGGGAGCCCATGGCAGGTAGATAAGACCATGTGGGGGAGCCAATGTCACATAGGTCTAAGACCGTGGGGGAGCCCAAAGCATCTTAGAGTAAGACCCTGGAGGGAGTCCACGGCATCCCTATATGTTTACATATGTGTTATGTAGTCTGATAGTTATTTCTATGATATATGGTATGCTATTTGACCTTGTGTTATTTACATGGAAGACCCCAGGGGAGCCCGTGGCAGTCAGATATCAGACCATGAGGGGGAGCCCATGGCTTCCAGGTAAAGACCATGAGGGGGAGCCCATGGCATGTAGGTATAAGACCCTAGGGGGAGCCCACGACATCCATGTATGTTTATATGCATGGCTTATGTGGTTTATGTAGCTTCTATAGCTAATATGGATTATGTGATTATGTGGATTGTGTGGGGTATGCTCTGGAGAACTCACTAAGCATTAGCTTACAGTTTGTTGATTGTTTCAGGTACTTCAGAGCCTAAGGGAAAGGGCACGATTTGATGGCGCGGCATGCACTCTCCGGCATTTTAGATGGGGACAGTCTGATATTTTGAATAAAATGATGATGTTATGGATTTCGAAAACAATTTTCATTGAGATTTCATATTTTATGGGAACGTTTTGATTATTTAAAAATGAAAAAAAATTATTTGGAAATTTGGGTTGTTACATGTACATGTTGACCGGAAGTAGCTGCATCATGTGACATACATAATGCAAAACCACCTCTCCTAACACCCAATTTGTTTCTATTTGAAGCAGACTTAGAACCGGAGCTGATAGTAATAGTAGAGTAAGAAATCGTCGGAGATTCACATCGAGATATTAGGATGCAATTTTGCCATATTCTGAGGTTGATGTGGGGTATAAGGCTTAAGGGCAAATTCAACCTTTTACATCTTTGTTAGAAAAGGTTTAACGGAGCCTAACTGAGACAAGGACTTGATTGTTACCCAAACCTACCATAAGGACTAATGGTGTTTAAATGGAAATAGAAAGATTAAAAGTGTTAAAAATGGATAACCACACGGACCAAGACTATAGGTGTGTTTGACATGGAGTGTTTGGGAGCTTCTAACGTTTAACAAAACGTTCTGTTTTGAACAAAAAAATATTGTTTGATATTACAAGCTTTTAACGTGTAGTTTATACAAACGTTCCAAATCTAAAAGCTATTTCACATAGCTTTTAACAAAACATTCTTAGCTACTAGCTAGTTTTGTCAAACACGTCTTATAACTTATTTTATTTGTTATAATAAATATGTCAGCTTTCTTAAATTACACAAATAATCTTACATACCAACTTTTTATATCATTGTATTCAGTCAAAAATTTAGGATTAATAAGTCTACGGTAATGCAACGTGGCACACCATTAGTTACTGTTATAAAGAAAAAACTAAGAATAAGCTCAAAAAATCCATTACCAGCGCAAAAGTGTAAAAAAAATCAACTTTTTTTCGGTTCTTTGGTCGGTGTCTTTTGCTTTCCTTTTCTCTATCAACACGATTTATATTTAACACTTTCTCATAAACCAAACCAAGTATCATCCCCACATCTTAACATGAAGAGAAACAATGTCTGATTAGGGATATAGATAGGAATTTCGTGCAATTATAATATAAAAAGTATTTATACAAAAATGATTAGATTAACACTATTATTTTTCGATTATATATGAAATGAAACTTTGCTCTTTTTAAACGTTTATTGAGGGTGTAAAAAGAGCTAAATTGAATAAGCGTGTGTGCCAAGTGTACAGTATCAGAACGAGCAATGAGCGTAACCTGGATTTCCCAAAATACCCCTGAGTGACATGACATTTTTCCAATTCTACCCCTGCTTTACTACATCCCTATTTAAACCCGAAACCCCCTTCGGTTCACAATTACCACCAACTGCACTCTCTCTCCCTCCCACCACCTTCTCGCATACGCAGTCACAAGCACATGGGCCTCAATTCGAACCGAGTCGATCACTATTCGGGTTCGGGTCATGCAAATCAAGGGCTCACATCAACTGCTCCGGCGACGATAACAGTTCCCGGAGAAACAATGATGTCGCTGGAATTGCACAATGTTTGTTTGCCGCCACAAAAAACCACCTTACAGAAACTCAGGCATCGGTTATCGGAGGTCTTCTTCCCCGATGATCCACTCCATGGATTCAAAAACCAATCGCGTTTTCGAAAACTGATTCTCGCTCTTCAATACTTCTTTCCGATCTTCGAATGGGCGCCGAATTACAATCTTACACTCCTCCGTTCCGACGTAGTTTCCGGTCTTACCATTGCTAGCCTCGCGATTCCTCAGGTATCACTTCATCTTCATCACCTTCATTAATTACTCTCTCACACACACCGTTACATACGAAGTGTGTGTGGGAGAAAAGAATTGCAGTCGGTAGTCGCATTAAATGAGTTTTTCTGATTCTGAAATCGTGAGTGCGGTTTTTCTGGTGATATGTTTGTAATTTGTTTGGGTTGCTCATAAATTGGTTGCGTGTGTCAACTTTTTTGTATTGTTCGTTCGGTTCATCATGCATGGGTTTGTACTTTGTGCTTTACTGGTGGTACTTCAAACAGTAGTGTCATTTTTGTTCAAATTTTCAGGTTTATGGTGTAATTAATTATAAAACCAATTTCATTTTATAATCAATTTATATCCATATTTTCATCAACAATTTTCGTTATTTGTATAATTAATATATAGTAATTTGTTTCAGTTTATAAGGTAAACTTTCAATTGCAAAGATTACACGTTGTTAATGCTTATTCTACTTCCTTCTTAGAAACCAGTTTTTTTTTAATGTTTATATATTTTAAAAATACATTAATTTATTTAATTACTACCAGAAGCAGGATTTTTTTTTAAAGTTCATTTACTCAAACTTAAAATGTTTAAAACGCCAAATTTGTGTTTTGTTTTTATTTTTAATTTTTTTATATTTCGATGGTTTACTTTGTAGTTTTCTAGACATGCAATAAAAGTGTATTTATTGATTGGAATAATTACAAAGACAATGTAGCGTAGAATTAATTTTATTTATTTTTAATTATAAAATAATTATGTAAGCAATTAATCTCACCTATTACCATATCTTGACTTAGATTTTGACCTTATCCTTTTAAAAGTATTTTGTTTAAAAATATATCTATTTTGTTTGAAATAATTGCGTATACGAATTAATTAGATGATTGTGTGATTAATTTTAAACCTTAGTTGGATCAATATTAGTTGTTATCACTTGATGTAGAATATATGCTTTCAAATCCAAAAAAAAAATTATGTTATCATCTTTACTTTCCTTTCAATCCATCTTCTTCAAAAATAAGCATGAAATTTGGTACACCAAATTCTATTCCATTAATTTCACTTTAATTTAGATTATTTGTGGTTCTAAATCAACTAATTCTTTTTTAGAAAATAAAGTGACTTATATAAAATTCATCTATTATGCTTACTAGGAATTCTTCTAGTAAAGTAAAGGTGTTTAGTTCTTTTCATATGAACAAGCTAAGAACATGATAAATGTTTTACACATCAACTAAAAAAAACAACAATTTAAGATATATCAAACTAATTTAGTTGTATAAGTCAAAATCAAAAACTATAATTACATCTCGAATTCAGGAATAGATCTTCTATTTAGAAGTTTCTGTTATGATATGTCACATCACATGGAAACCATAAAAACGAAAATATAAATATGGTCATATCATATGGCCCACAAGGTATTTGTGTTGTTTCTTATTATTTTTTTTAATATAATTTTCAGGGGATTAGCTATGCGAAGCTTGCGAACTTGCCTCCAATAATCGGGCTATGTGAGTTTCTATCTATTTTTGTTATCTTCGTAACACAAAATATTTTGTGATTTGATGTAAAAATGACATATTTTTCGTAAAAATGAACAGACTCGAGCTTTGTGCCACCATTGATCTACTCTGTGCTTGGGAGTTCAAAGCATCTAGCAGTGGGGCCAGTGTCAATAGCGTCACTTGTCATGGGAACAATGTTAAACGAAGCAGTTCCATACAACAAAGATCCAGTTCTCTACCTTAAGTTGGCTTTCACTGCTACTTTCTTTGCTGGCGTCTTTCAAGCAACTTTAGGTCTTCTCAGGTACTTTGAACTCAATCATGAAATTTGACATCAATGTGTGGTTGAAAAAAAAAAAAAAAAAAAAAAAAAAAAAAAAAAAACTAGTGGTAAAGATTGGTTACTTAATGATGAAAATAAGATTTTTGAACTTTTATGTAGTGGGCACAAAAAAGGGAATATACTTTGTGAACTATCAAAAGTGGGACCATTTTACAAAAAGGGTTTGTTATACAAATGTTTTATGGTTGTGTGCACTTTTGACTTTCATTTTTTCAATATAAATTCATTAGTGGGAAATAATTCAAACAGTGAAAACATTCCTTTCAATTTCATAATCACTTATTGGGACCACTCCAAGATCTAGCGTCCCGACATTTTCTCATATTGTTCAAAAGATAGATTTTTAAGTAAATTCCATTTAATTTCTTTAACAACTGTCGGGTTTAAAAAAAAAGTTACTTTTTAAATTTTACTTTATTAAGAATTTGATGATTTTTACAGGTTAGGGTTTGTTATCGATTTCTTATCGAAAGCGACCCTTGTTGGTTTCATGGCTGGGGCAGCTGTTATTGTATCTTTACAACAACTAAAAGGGCTGCTTGGGATTGTTCATTTCACTACCAAAATGCAAATAATTCCCGTTTTAACCTCTGTCATTCAACACAGAAATGAAGTATGTAACATTTTATTTGTTATGATTAAAATGGTTTTATCGAATTCTAATTTACATATAAAAATTATTAACGTTATTATTTCTTTATATACTTGTGCAGTGGTCTTGGCAAACCATTGTGATGGGGTTTTGCTTCTTGGGGTTTTTACTTGCCACGAGACATATTGTGAGTACAACTACAAGTTTTTACTTTTTTACTTTTTTACAATATATATAGTACAAGTGGCTAATGCATGACGAATGTAGGGATTACGAAAACCGAAGCTGTTCTGGATATCAGCCGCAGCACCATTGGCGTCGGTGATTCTGTCGACTCTTTTGGTCACTCTATTCAGATCAAAACTACATGGGATTGCAACTGTAAGGATCATTATCCATTACTTTTAACTATTTTTCATATCAATACACAGAATTAAACATTTAAACTTTTTTTTAATAGATCGGTCACTTGGAAAAGGGATTAAATCCGCCATCATCAAACATGCTGTATTTTCACGGCGAGTTTCTCGGTGTCGCCATCAAGACAGGGATCATCACCGGAATACTATCTCTAACAGTAAGTTTCAGTTTGATGCATTATCAGGTTGTACTGTACAACTCTTGAAAAAAAATACAATACTCTAACTGGAAACTTAAATTAACAGGAAGGAATTGCGGTGGGAAGAACATTTGCCTCTTTGAATGACTACCAGGTGGATGGAAATAAGGAGATGCTCGCCATTGGGGTGATGAACATGGCTGGTTCTTGCACATCTTGCTATGTCACCACGGGCTCGTTTTCCCGATCTGCTGTGAACGCGAACGCGGGGGCTAAATCTGTAGTCTCCAACATCATCATGGCATCAACCGTTCTGATTACTCTCTTGTTCTTGATGCCTCTCTTTCACTACACACCGAATTTAATACTCGCTGCAATCATTATAACCGCTGTGATTGGGCTCATGGACTACCAAAGCACAATCCGACTATGGAAAGTGGACAAACTAGATTTCGTGGCTTGTTTGTGTTCCTTCTTTGGTGTGCTCTTCATTTCGGTTCCAATTGGTCTTGCAATTGCGGTAATCTTTCTTTCTTTCTTTTTTTTTTCTTTCTTTCGATTGTGTAATAATTAATAGTTGACGAAATTTTTGTTTGTTTTGTGTAGGTTGGGGTTTCGGTGTTTAAGATTTTGTTGCATGTGACAAGACCGAATACGGGTGTTTTGGGGAATATACCGGGGACTCAGATATACCAGAATGTGAATAGGTATAGAGAAGCAAGAAGGGTGCCTTGGTTTGTGATACTTGGTGTTGATTCGCCTATCTACTTTGCTAACTCGACTTATCTACAAGAACGAATTTTGAGGTGGATAAGAGAAGAAGATGAGTTGTTAGCAGCAAACAATGGTCCATCGTTGAAATGTGTTATTATCGATATGACTGGTATGCTTTTTTGTTAATACTTGATATTGGAAGCTGGCCTAAAACTAATTGTGTGTATGTGGGTTTTTGTTAATGCAGCTGTGACAGCGATTGATACGAGTGGTTTGGGAATGGTGAAGGAGTTGAAGAAGATGCTAGAGAAGCGATCGCTTCAGTTGGTTTTGGCAAATCCTGGAGGGAGTGTGATGGAGAAGCTACACCAATCAGAGATATTGGAGTCGTTTGGGTTGGAAGGGGTGTACCTGAGTGTTGATGAAGCTGTGGCAGATATATCATCAGCATGGAAAGCTTAAGCTTAAGAAGTTGGCATGGGGTTTCTTGTATTTTAGTTTGCAGGGTAGGAGTCAGGAGAAGAGACAGGGTACTACTACTTACTACTGCTTAATGCTAAAGTGGTATGTATGTATGTAAGAGTCACAAGCTATAAGCTGTTTTCGTATCAAAAAAATTATATTAGTCTTTTTGCTTATTTCCATAATCCATATAACTACCACAAGGAAGGAAATTCTAATTTTAATGGAAGTATAAAGAAAGAATTTATAAAAAGAAGCATGGGTTTTGCACACTGGATAAGAACAACTGAACAACATGCATCTATCAATTTATGAATGATAACATCTAAGGAAGGAAGGAATGAAGGCTGTCTCTATGACACCAGAATTATACATATATTGGTGTATGTTTTTTCGTCTAATTCTGATTCCAAACTTGTGACAAGGATTTTAGCATTCATCCCTTCTCCTGGACTTCATCATCAAAACCATGTTTTTCATCGGTCAAAGTCAAACACCTGCATCATCATAAACCGCCCAAACTAATTATTTATATAAAAAAAAAAAAGTTTAAATGAATTTTAAAAAATAGCAAGGGGCAAAGAATATGATCAAAAGTAGATGAGGCATGTTGATAAAAATAATCCGTCCATTCTAATCAGGATTTATTCTTCTTTAAGTAAACAATTACCTTTGCATCTTCCTTTTGCTTGATTATGCTTATGGCAAATTGGCAATGCAAATATCTGTCTATTTCTGTTTATGGGTTAATTAATTTTTTATTGGCAATTAGCATTTTATGGGGCCAATTTGGCAATCACCAGTCACGTGTTACACTGTCTTAACAACGGAACAAATTTCCACTACATATTTTATTTATTTACCTTTTCTTTTCTAGAAAAATATCTCTTAGAATCCCAATACTCATCAAACATCAGCATTCCTTACTATTTCTTAAAGCAGAAGACAAATACAATAGTGTGTGCACCAAGTATTTCAGTAGCATATATATTTAAGAAAAGAAATTAGTCATATTATTAATAGTCAAACCTTTTGTTCTACTAAACTGCATATTAAGCCAATTGATCCAAATCCCATGAAATGAAGCATTTAAAATTACAATGCCCAACTAACGAACCTCTTTACCATTATCTAAAGATTGCCAAAATGCAATGTTTTGAAAACCGAACCGGTCTGAAAAACCGGATGACGTCGTTTCTACATCATATATAATTTTAAAATTATAAAAATTCAAAAATTACAAAAAATCTCCAAATTTAAAATACAAAACTTTCAAACAACCAAAGTTTAGTTTTTCAACAACTAATATCAAAATACCATGAAAATAGTGTATCAAAAACCCAAAGTTGACAACATCTTAGTCTTCATTAAAGGAATCCAAATCAATGTCTAATAACACAGCCGGGTCATCATCTTCTTCATTTCCTTCAATATCAAATAGAAATTTAATCTTAACAAAACTTAAATTCAAATGGAAGGTTAATAATAACATTGCTAGACTTATGACTTCTAAGTTGTCAACTTTCAACTTACTTCGGTTAATTTTTTTAGATTAAAAATATATATATTTTTGGACAAAATAACGAAGTCAACAGCCAGAAACACTTTTAGGAGTGGCATCAATCAAAATGTGAAAACACCCTTATAAAATTTTTGAGCAAATGGAAATTTCCAAATACAATTCTCTTTATGATCGTTATTGAAGGCTATAAGGATATATCTTTGATACCTAGAGGTTATGAACCATTGGACCCATTGGTTGATTTATTGTCTTCTAAGCTTATTCTAACGTCACATAATCGTATCCCAACTCCCATGGAACCAAAAGGAGTAAGGGGGAAGAGAATAAAAAAACAATTATTATAAATTAAAAAATTAACCAGAAAATAACATCGAGAAGTAACATTTTAACAAATTATAAAGATAAGTAGATAACATTAAAAAATAATAATAATAATAATAATAATAATAATAATAATAATAAACAAAAACTGAAAAAGTTAGAAACAAATAAACCGTAGAAACAAATTGAAAAGATATTTAATTGAGTAATTAATTAAATTATAACTCATTAAAGCCCATTAAACTCATTCATTTCTTCTCTACTTCCTAAATCCTAATACACGGTGAATTCTCTTCCACATAAAATAGAATTAAATTTTGTTCTCTTCTTCTCTACGTCTCCCCATGAACACTCACCTCTCTTCTCCATTTCTACTTCTCCATTCTCTCTCTCTGAAACGCCTCAACCACCCCACCAATTAAAAAGATAACATCAAATGTATCAAGTTTAAGGTCAGAAAATTTTCGACTTCAAAAATCAGTGGTCAATGAAGAGCAATGTCGATGGAGAGATTTGGTTCGTTAAAAATCCCACTAAAAACGAGTCCCAGGTGCTTTTTTTATCTTTATTATATCTATATTTGTAATATTATTCTCGTATCTAGACAAACAATTTCATGGAAGCCATAAATACTTTCATATTCCAATACCAAAGATATAGATTCAGACTCAAATGCAGAACTTAAAGATTATAGCTAACATAGTAGCATACTAGCATAATGATATAAATAGATGAACATATTACATAGATCATGTGTAGTGAAATCAGACTTGGTGAATATATAAAAGATAGAAACACATAAGCTACTGAATGCAGGTTCAAAACAGAGCAAGAAAAATATTCTCATCAGTTTTATAAGTAAGCGGAGAAGTTCACTTACTTGATCGGAATCTTGAAATGGGAATTTCTCGCAATTCACGTTTTATACACAAATATTCTCCTAACAAAGCCATTAGTGCCAATCCAGTGCCATTGACAATCCACCATGTAATTGATGTAGGCCATCCTCCATATATGATGCATATGAATAGATGGATGATGTAAAGGGTGGCAGCAAAATCTAGGCACTTCTTTGCTCTCTCAATCAAATAAAGCAAGAAACCAGCCCTGTTTAAAATCAGAAACAAATCTTCAGAGAATTCATAATTTCACACCAGGTTTTCATGTGATAAAGGCAAGATGATGTATATGTATTATTGATAAAGTAATGGTAACTTTAATTTAGCTATACATTTATACTTATAGGAAACAAACTTGAGAAAGAAAGACATGACAATTAGACATTTTTCATTCCATGATCACAGCAAAGGTAAAAACCATGAGTTCAAAAGAATACAGCAAAAGACAGAATCCAGGGTACAATAAGCTTCATTTCCTTTGCCATACTGCATTGAATCATATTTTTTACTGAACACCTACAGCATGTCAAAATCCAAGAAGTATGCAGACAATATCTAACAGGTATGATTTTTATAGAATTTGTTCTAGAAAAATTAGAAATTACATTGCATTAAATACAATGTATGGGAAACTCCCTGAAATTAAAAGTAAGAATCAAATTAAGCACAAAAATTAGGAAATCATAACTCTCACCCGGCTACAGAACTGAGGATGAAAGAAGCGATGACACACCAGCCGGTAACTGTGGAGATGCTAATCGTAGCGTAATCAAAGAAATAAACAAGGCTCATCATCGAAACCCTAGTTCCAACAAGAATAGCCATGAAAAAGCCCAACGTGAGATAGTACAAGCACTGAATGCATACAATTTGAGCTACAATTAGCCATGGATCCCATACCACCGAACCATAGAACATGACTACCGATTCACTTCCACTCCAAACACCCAATTTTACAAACAAATCAAAGAAAAAACTATTCAGCTAATTTTCACAACATATGAAGGGCACGCCCGATTGAACCTTAATTATCGGCGCAATCACCAGATACAATCATCGCTGTTGGTTTAACAGATACTCAATTCACTAAAACCAACGAATCAAACGACAAGGAAGGGTTTACAAAACAAATTGGAATAGATTCGAGTGAGGTGTAAATCGGCTATGAGAAACGGAGCTAGATCTAAGATTATGATTTAGGAAAGCGAAATTTGAAGATTGATTATCAGACCAAACGATGAAAATCGAAGGAACCCTAAACTTAAATTTCAATAACAAAACATTAAAACATAGAATATACTTACTTTGGAATACATATGGGGTTCGGTCCGCAATCATATAATTAAGTATATAAAATGATATTTTTTCTTAAAAAACAATTCATAAAATTAAGTAAAATGATATTTTCCTTGAAACAAAACTGCAAAATTGGTATCTCTAGTATCCAAAAGATAATGATTTAAAATAATAATATATTTTTCGATTTGAATATTTTGTCACCGAGTTTTTTCGTTTATATTTATATCTTTAACTTGTTTAAATTGTACACATTTAGTCCTTATGAGCGACTACTTCAGATAAGTCGAAAAAAATAACTTAAAAGGTAATATTGTAACACCGAAAATTTCTAACAAATTTTTCATTTTTAAATTACAAAACTCTCAGAATACATTTCACAAAAAAATCTCATTTATTTAGTTTACAACTCGTAACTCCATAATTGTTTGATTAAAATCCAGGATCCTCAAAACATAACTCTTTCATTGGTGTGTACAATCAAGTCGGTGCCTTCTCGCGATCCTGAGAAAACCTGAAACACATAACACATAACACGGTAAGCACGAAGCTTAGTGAGTTCCTCAAAATACCACATACAACAATTCGCCACTCAAGGCTATACTCTGTAAGACCCTCCGGTCTATGTGTCTCAGCGGGACCCTCCAGTCCCGTAGCTCGTTGGACCCTCTGGTCCGGTCTGATTGAGAATCATCTAGCCTCGTAAATCATTGGACCCTCCGGTCCGGTCAGAATAGCACATAGCATACATAAATCACAATATACATAATCTCAAGCAAACACGTATGACCTTCCGGTCCACACAGATACCACCCTGGGTAATGTATAGTGAGAAGACTCACCTCAGATGGCGAACAGATCCTATAAATGCTGCTGCTACACTTCGGCTTCTATCACTAAGCCAAACCCACAAATAACCCCATTAGGATCTAAGACCAATCCTTCACATTATTAGGTCTAAATATGGTCCACCAATCCGGTCCATAAATAATCCAAGCCCAATGGACCCACCAAGGCCCCATGCCAAATGGGTTCACAAAAAGTCCTCTAATGGCCCAACTATGGCCCAATTTTCTAAATTAGGCCCAAACCCTCATATGGGCCTTACCCTAAAGCCCATCTAAATATTCTAGTCCACAGGATTGCTCTTGGATGGCCCATCAATAGCCCAAACACCAGAGTCAAATAGAAAGGCCCAACACAAGGCCCGAGTAAAAATTAGGGTTTTCTCATAAAATGATGATTAGGGTTAAGTGTTTCTCACTTAACCCATTAAGGACTTAACCCATTAAGTCCATTGTTCCACTAAACCATCATACAACGGAATCGGCATGCCATAACTTCAGTCCACCGGTCCAAACGTGGGTCCCAATAGGCCCAAACCAACACACCCAAAATTAGGGTTTTCTAAACCCTAATTAGGGTTTCTAGCCCAATCACGAGCCAGCCCCGTCCAATATTAAGTAATTGGGCTAATTAGGGTTCCACTAGGTCAACACCACTCACTGCCACCTCGGTAGTGGTGGTCGGCGGCGGCTCCCGGCGGCAGCCACCATTTCCAACGGTGGTGATGGTGGTTCCGGCCTAAAGAGTGCATAAACAGCCTCAAACATAAAATATACGCGCACACATCCACCTCCCATGGTGGCTAGTGGCGGCATAGGGCGGCAGAAAAATGGAATTGGGTGGCAGCCACCACCTTGAGGTGGTGGTGGTGGATTTTCTGGTCCAATGACTCGCATCTAACACCATTAACACAACCCGGCATACTCATATCACGATCCAAAGTTGAAAAGATGTACCTACACACGACCACCCTCACGGCTGCATAAGGCAGTCGGAGAAGAAGAAGGTCCACCGCGACTGCTGTTCGGAATAGAGATGGCGACGGCAGCCTAGCGACAATATAAGCGGAGGGGAAGGAAGCAATCACAGCAGGGAACCGGGGATGAGTTCTTCCCGACGAACGGAGGCCACAATCACGCCTCACAGCTCCGGCGAGCATGCGACGCTCAACTATTTCACATCGTCCAGCAGCCACAATGGCGTCCCGGTGGCGGATTAGCAGCGGCAACGGCTGGTCTGATCGGAATGACGAACAAACATGGAGGGTGGCCGCTGGGACGTCTCACATGGCGGCTGAATGTTTTTGCTAGTTTTAGGGTTAGACGATGGGAGGGAGCACCGGGTATAACCCGTGTCTTTCTTCAAACAATTTGCGTTTTTACAATACCAGCCCCTCCCCACCAAATCTTCTTCAACTTTAACCCAATATTTACCTTTTTAGCCCATACTTCCATAATTCTTCTTCAACTTAAATCCCAATAGTTACCATGCAGCCCCTGATTCCATAAATTCATTCCAATTAAGGTCCAAAACTTACCAATTAGTCCCTGCCCTCAGAAATCTTTATAAATTAAATCATGAACTTACACGTTTAACCCCCACAAATCCAAAATTACATCAATTGACTCCCCGACACCCTCACCCCACTAAATATTATTTATTTATTAAACGAGATGTTACAAATATATTTCTTACTTTATACACATTTAGTCTTTAATATTTTTTTTTGCATATTTAGTTCTTAATATTTTGTTTGCAAAATAAGTATTTGTTGTTTTTGTACACATTCAGTATTTATGACAGGTTTCTTTAGGTTTTCTCATGACATCCTACGTGGGACAATCATTAATGATTTTGGGGTTGTTGATGTTTATGGTCACTGCGTTCTTACGTTCTAGACGTCGTAACTTCTTCATACAATCTCAGATTTTAACAATCTTTATATTCATACGTTCAGATTTGAGTCTACTACAACTTTCGTTTAGTTTACTCTCATTAAAAAGTAACATATTTTTACTTACGCTTTTTATAAAAAAAAATGTTCATACATACATTCATAAAGAACACATGTATATAAAGATCATAAATAAAATTATATTACTTTTTAACATGAATAATCTAAATGAAAGTTGTAGTAGACTCAAATACAAACGCATGGATATAAAGATCATTAAAATCCGAGATCGTATGAAAAATTACAACGTTCAAAACACAAAACTTAAGCCAAACCACAAGACCTAAGCAACTAAGCAGCCAAGGTCGTGGTGTCCATAAGCATCAACAGCCCCAAACACCCCATTAATGATTGCCCCATATAGAATGTCGTGAGAAAATCTAAAGAAAGCGGTCATAAGTAATGAATGTGTATAAAAACAAAAAGGACTTATTTTGCAACAAAAAAATATTAATGACTAAATGTCTACAAAATGAGAAATATATTACCATATTAAGTCATTTTTTCTGGCTTACTTGAAGTAGCCGATCATAAGGACCGAATGTGTACAGTTTAACAAGTTAAAGGGGAAAATATGGACAAAAAACTCAGTGACCAAATGTATACAAATCAAAAACTATATTACCTTTTAAGTCATTATCCATATTCTAAAAAATATGGATATTGTCCAAAAAGTTTCCAACTTGCATGAAAGGTCCAAAATCAATGAAATTTGATTTTGGATATGAAGATCGTTAAAATCTGAGATCGTATAAGGAAATTACGACGTTCATAACACAAAATCTAAGCCAAACCACAAGACCTAAGCAACTAAGCAGTCAAGGTCGCGGTGTCCATAAGCATCAACACACCTCATTAATGATTGTCTCACATAGGATGTCGTGAGAAAACCTAAAGAAACCGGTCATAAGTAATGAATATGTATAAAAACAAAAAGACTTATTTTGCAGCAAAAAATATTAATGACTAAATGTCTACAAAATGATAAATATATTACTATATTAAGTCATTTTCTCTAGCTTACTTAGAGTAGTAGGTCATAAGGACCAAATGTGTACATTTTAACAAGTTAAAGGGGAAAATATGGACAAAAAACTCAGTGACCAAATGTGTACAAATTGAAAAGTATATTACCTTTTAAGTGTTTTTAGTCCTTGAGCAACTTGAAAATACTGTTTTACCATTTTCATTTCTTTTTTTTCTTTTTTTAAATCTATATTAATACCTTTTCAATTAAAAAAAAGAGAGAATTAAGTAATCCCACCCGTACCCTCCCCTTCTCTCTCTCTCTCTCTCTCTCTCTCTCTCTCTCCCCTCTCTCTCTCTTTCTCTCTCTTTCTTTCTTTTTCTCTCTTTGAATCTCTCTCATTTCTCCTTTCCATTGAGCAACACCACTATGCATCCTCTTCTCCATCTCCATTATTGTATCTTTGATTATAACTGGCCACCATCAAGCTAACTTACCTCCTATAAAATCCCAAAAATTCTAAGTAAAACAAAATTATTTTTACGTCAACTAAAACCATTAATCATTCATTTCTAACCATCAAAGTATGACAATATGGAAAAATAGTTATCAGAGTACAATCACAAAATCATAAAATGCTAAACACCGATGGATGCGATGTGATCATGTCGAGCCCTTCCCTTTTGAACCGGAAGTACCTGAAAAACATTTAAACATAAAACGTAAGCAAAAAACTTAGTGAGTTTCCCAAAATACCACATACCATACATATATATCAACCTAAAACTGTAACGGGACTATTTCACCCCCTAAATCCCTGTGAGTTCCGACTCTCTGAGTCCCTTCCGACTCCCTCGGTATCTTTCAACTCATACGAGTCTATTTCACCCCTACATCTAAGTCTACAATCATATCAGCAAGAGTCATAAAGACAACAAGCATATACATGCATATCATCAAGTGTCACTAAGACAACAAGAACATATAGACATATCATCAAGTGTCACAAAGACAACTATCATCCTACAAACATAATCCAGTGGGCTGACATTGGTGCCTTCGACCCACGAGTACAATGAAGAGACTCACCTCAAACTCACAATATTCGAATCACACATGTACTGCTGCTACAAAGGCTCCTCATACTAAACACATCCAAACCAAACCTAATTACTATTTAGGTTAATAACCCATAATTAAAGATCCAAATCATATTCTCTCTTACTAAGGGTAAATGTCACACCCCCGAACCA